AGGAGGAATATTTTTTGATTATCAAATAAACAAGCTTCATATAGCTAGAGTCAGTGAGGCAACCACTTCTATTTCTAGAAGGAATGTAAATTAGCTGCACTGATTTCTGAATGATAGTTTGGCACTCTAAGTTTTAGACTTGTGTCTCTGCAAAAGCAATATATCTTTTTTTTTTTAAATAATAAATTTTATTTTTATATTCCCCATACAATTGCAGCCCCCCCCCCCATTCTGACCCCAATCCCTCCCCTCCCGCCCCCGCCCCCCTAAAAATGTCTCTGGTTCATAGTTTTTTGTTGATTTTGATTTTCACTTTCTTATAGTTATTCATTTTCCTGGTCCCTTATTTAAGTTTTCTAGATTCCTGCTATGAGTGAGACCATCGGTATTTTTCTTTTTCTTTTTGGCTTATTTCGCTGAGCATGATCCCTTCCAGCGCCATCCATGTTGCTGCAAATTGCATGTGTTTATCTTTTTTTGAATGCTGAGTAATATTCCATGGTATATATGTACCACATCTTCTTGAATATATCTTATGGGACTATCCAAAATGCTCAGAGATTCAGGCACTAGGATCTTTCAAACAGGAATACTTACAATCTCATGAAAGTTGAAAAGTTCTCTTGCTATATTTATATCTTTCACTCCTTTTTCCCTCCTTTCTTTCTTCCTTCTTTTCTAACCCCTTTCCTTCGTGTGTGTGTGTGTGTGTGTGTGTTGGCTTATGCTAAACCATATTGAGCAAAAGAGTAAGACCAAGCAAATGAAAATATTTTGGACTCTTTTCTCTAATAACATCTCAGATCAACTAGGGATAGAAGGAAACTTACTTATTTGGATAAAATTTTCTATTAGAGACACAAAGCAAATATCATATTTAATGGTAAACTATCAGAAAACCATAGCCACTGCCTATAACATTTCCTTAGGATTTTTTTTAAGTCTATATTGAGAGTTGTGATCCTTTCATTTTTGGAAAACTTGTTTATGTTCTCTTTTGCATTATTCAGAGTTGTTAAAGAACGTTAGTTCTTGGTGTTATGCCAGTCTCTTAAAATAATTTGAGATGCTGTGTCGTTTTTAGATATTCTTGGAAGGTTTTAATAAGAGAGGAAGTACTGGTTTCTTCATAAGTTCTTATCATGTCAAAAAAAAAAGAAGGAAATTTCAACACCGTTTGTGTCTGGGGGAAAGGTTGTCCTGAACAAACTCCACAAACAGGTTTTATGGACCCACCCCTATCCCAAGACACAAAGCCCATAATGTCATCATTGCTGAAGGGAAGGTTGTTGGAACCTGAGGATGGAGTTAAGCAACCAGTTTGGAATATAACCAGAATTGTGGGCCCTGCGGGTCCTTGGTTTTCACTGCCTTTAAGCATGCTATTGAGGTTCCAACTCAGTGGAACTGGTAGTATGCATTCACAAATGAATTCACAATTCACAATTTGTCTCTCTCTCCCTGAGTTATTTGTTTCTTCATTTCCCCTTTTTAATAAACAAATCCTTGATTAACCTTTTTGTGTATGCCTCCAGTTGAGTCTCATTATAAGTCCCTTTTAAGTGTGTGAGTGAGGATCCACAGTCAGGCCAACCCATTTCACATTGGGGTTGCCCTGTAACATTTTTACCCGAGTCTGGTGCGCTATGCAATGCCACAAGACTGATCTCATGATTTCATTCTCATCCCTGCTCAAATGGCCTCTTATCACTGCTTCCTTCCTATAATACCTTGGTAAGAACACACCCTTACTATCCTGCGCCCCAACTCTCCCTTCACTACACTTAGGATACTCCTACCTGTAAGACCATATAGCACATGTCTGTAAGTCTGTTTGTTTTCTGACTCCTCATACTAGAATAAAAGATCAAAGTTTTAGAAAAACCCTGTACTGATCTGGTATCAAAATCTCAATTAAAGGAAAAAACCCATAATAAAAGGGAAAATAAACTAACATTTGACCCCATTCTAGGCTCATTTAACATAAACTCATTTTCATGCTTAGAAAGATCCTAATAGAGCTGTATTCTTTCCCACAGGAAGGAAATGTGACTCTAGAGGTTACTTCCTTCTCAAAATCACCAGCCAGAGTGTTAGAGCCAGAAATTCACAGAAATCTCGACCACAGTCTCTCCCAAACCAATATTGAGTTCTGTTAGTTGTTTGTAACATAAAAATCCACTGAGCTGGGCATGGAGAGATGAATTAGAAAGCAATTTTGAAAATATGTGAAGGAATGTGAAAAGAGAACTAATAATTATTTATTGAATGAAAGTGATTCAATTTAAGGGTGGAAGTTATGTTAATGAGTCTTTAAATACAGTAGCACAAAGATAAAATTCAAAATAACATTTTAACTTTCTGTATACCCTTTACTTACGATAGTCTTATGTTCCTGGAAATTCAGGGATGAGCTTTACTGTAAATCCCTAACAGAATTATACAGAAGAAGGTCTTTTAAGAAAAGAAAGACACATGCACACAAACAAACAAACAAACAAAAACCCATATAATTTTGTAATGCATTACCTACAGTGCCCAGAAAGCAGTCATTGCTAAAGTGGGTGTTGCTATGTGAACCGTTAGTAGCATTTCTCAAGACATCTCAGTCCCAACTGCAGCCACAGTGGACAACTAGCCACTTCTAGTGCTTCTGCCCTTCTTTCTCTGATACCATCATCATCTAATCATCAACTAATACTCATTCATCTAATCATCATCTAATACTCAACCTCCTTGGAAAGTGTTGGTTAGTACTTTTGTTTGCTTACTTTCTTATATCTGTTTTTCATACACTCATGAAAAGGAATAAAAGATTTTTTTTTAAAGATTATTTATTTATTTTTTATTTATTTATACAAGCACTGGGTACAGTCTCGCGGAAGGGCGAGAGAATTCACCAGAGCCAGAGCGGGGAACAGAACAGGCAGACTGATGAAATACACCGCTGAGGGGAGCAGTGGGTGTGTCAGGAGAGTTCTGCGAACCATGTGGAACCCTTGCTGGTGGCCGGGGTTCGAACCGGCACTGCAGCGGCTGTGGGCAGCTTCACAACCCAGCGCTCAACTGCTTCGCCACCGGGGAGGCCCGGAATAAAAGATTTTTGAGAAAATTACAAATTTCAATGTCAGAAAGTTCTAGAGACCTGCTTCCCAATTTGCAAATGTTACATGCTGAGAAGGTGACCTAAAGCTTTGTGCTGTCCAGGATCCTGTTGTTATCCCTGAACTCAGGGCTCATTAAACCCGCCATGGGCCGGAGAGTACATTGGGACAGGCTCAAGATATCTAGCACTGACATATCTGGGCTGGGCAGTGGGTATTTCTGAGGACTTCCACATTGTGTGCTGCCAGTCATCTGGCCACTTCCTTCCCATCACTGAAAGAATATTGGTAGATTTCATTTCCTTCATTTCTCACACATCAATGTATTTTTTATGCCTTGCTATTCAAATCAAAGTACCCTTTCATTCTAGCCCCTAGAAAGACATATTTCTTCCTCTGTGATCCCATATTAGTTTACTTACAGTCTCATTTCATTTGGTCTCATAAAACACTATTTTGTATCAATGTCTCCCTAAACTGATATTAAGCATCTTTAAATTAGATGAAAGACTATCTCTTATTTTACCTTTCCATAATTTTATGCAATGAAATCTTGCAGTACATGATAAGCCAAATGAGACAGTTAGCTGACCCAATCTCATCCTAAAATCATATATGCTAATACTCTTATACTATGAGTACCCAAATTGTATGTGCCTCACTTATTCTGAAGTAAATTAGATTCTACTGTAGAGTATGTAAAACTTATTTGGTGGATTAATTCCATTCAACCTAGCAGCCTTTTTTTGTTGATGTAAAATGGAATGAATTCAAATATAAATAATTTTTTTTTAATAGAGGCATGTTTATTTATTTATTTATTTGTTTGTTTGTTTGTTTGTTTTGTTTATACATGCACTGGGTACAGTCAGAAGCGCGGGAGGGTGAGAGAATTCACCAGAGCCAGAGCGGGGAGCAGAGCAGGCAGAAGGACCGAAGTACACTGCTGAGGGGAGCAGCGGGCGGCAGGAGAGGTCTGCGCGCCATGCGGGACCCTCCTCCAGTGGCCGGGAGCAGCTGGGGATCGAACCGGCGCCGCAGAGGCCGCGGGCAGCTTCGCAACCCAGCGCTCAACCGCTACGCCACCGGGGAGGCCCTGCAATATGTATTTCTAAGGCAATACATTGTTTTCTTCTTTATTTTAAGTCTCATACATGCCACATCACGCAAAGATGGCTATTTCACATAACATCCCTCCTAATATATCCAAGTCTCAAATAACATTCCTTCTAAGACAAATATGCACTCACAAACTAGGTGCTATAAAAAAAGAGATATTCTAATACTGTATTGAAAAGGAATTGTTTTGAGCTCTAAGTGCTTAGAAAACAAATAAATGCATCTGCCTATAATTTTCAATCAGTTACTCTATTGTTCAGAGAAGTAGATGACAGTATAAGCACCCTGTAAGTATTTTATTCAGAAGTGGAGAAGAAATATAAAGAAGCTGGGATTAAGGTAAGCTGACAGTTTGATTTAGTAGCACCAGGAATCTGCTGTTTGTCAGAGACAATTGCAATGTTTCTATTATGTAATGGCACAATGGTTTTCAAAGACTTATGATAAACATATGCAGCAGCAAAAATAAATTAATAAATTGATTAAGAAAAATAAGCCCCTGGGCCTTCCTGGTGGCCTATGGGTTAAGTCTCAGCGCTATCACCACTGTGTCCTGAGTTCGATCCCCGGTCAGGGAGCTAACCCACATGGCGCAGCAGACCTCTCCTGACTCATCTGCTGTTTCCCTCAGCAGTGTATTTCAGTAGATCTGCCACTTCTGTTCCCCACTCCATCTCTGGTGAATCCTCTCACCACGCTGTACCTCTGGCCTACAACCCAATTCTTGTATGCATAAATAAATTAAAAAAAAAAAAAGACCCTGTCCAGTATTCTTACTTGAAGGTAGATCCTGCACTTTGGGAATATGAAAATGCTCCCTGAAGTGTCTCAGCTTATCTTCTTCATCAAGGCGCAGGGCGACCCGCTCATCTGTCATGTGGCATCTAAGCTCAGACGCTATGCGTTGCAATGTGTCAGCTGGTAATTCAAGACGTGAAGGTTCCATTACAAGTTGCTCTCTAAAAAAGCAAAATATATACATATATATATATAAGTGATCTAACCATATATAAGTTGTACAATTAACTACACAGCATTAAAACCCATGCTTGAGATTTTCTTGAGTGTAAAATGAAGAAAATAATAGTAACACAGGGATCTTCAAAAGACTAAATGAGGTGACGATGCTAGGACAGAGCAAACTCTCAATAAATGCTAGCTTTTTTCTATTTTTTATATTCTGGAAAATGGAGCAAATTAGTGACTTAAACACATAACTTCATCTTCTTTTCTTCTAGATGTCTTAGTAGGCAGTAACACCAAAGATACTTTTGAGAAAAATGTAGAAAAATAGTGTCCTTATTCTACCTCCACTGTGTCACCTCAGTGATGTAGATCATAGTTTCAAGTCTGTGGATTTATATACAATAGAATCTTGACAAATTGTTTATTGTGAATGAAAAATAATGTTAGTAATTGTTGGCATATAAAGACCAAGGAAATAGACTTTTTGCTGATGAGAAGCCTTTCCTCCTTTACAGCCATATATACCATCTGAGGACAAAGTAGTGCCCTGTGTTGTTTCTTGAATCCACATCCTACAACAGTTAATCATCACTTAACATTTACAACCTTTTTGGAAAAATAGTCTTTCTGAAGTAGATAAATGACACTGTGACTTCAACACATATTTTTAAATATCAGAGAAGTTTTATATTTATACTTCCCAAAGTTTTAGGTTCTGTTGTTTTTTTTTTTTTTTCCAAAATTGAGAAATAATAGTCTTTGAGAACAATATCAGGTTTCATTTACATTTTTATACTTTTGATGATTTGACTTATACATTCCTCATTTATTTATTATTTAAGTAAATATTTTTGAGCACTTAAATCACATATCTCCAAGTATTGTTGGGATAGCTATGTTTCAGGTAGTATATAAGTAGTGACTATTACAGAGTTTACATTTTAACAGAAGAATGGAAAATAATGGACTCATGTAATTTCAGACTGATAAGTAAACAAGGTAGAACAACAGGATAGTCACTGGGGTATAGAACAATTACCTCAGGGGATCAAATGCATCTCTCTGAGGCAGGGAAATACCAGTATTTCTGAATAATATTCTGAATAAAACATGTGAAGACTTGGACCTGGAGGAAGATGATGGCAAATGCAAAGACCCTGATGTGGTGAGTTGTACTTGGCCTGTTCATCTAATCCACTAAGGAAAGTTAAGGAGGTGGAAAGTATGACATGAGAGAAGGACAGTCAGAAGTTAGTCATGAAGAACTTTAAAGTTCAGATAATTTTCAAAGTTTAATTGGGAATTACTGGAGAGTCATGAAGAGGTAAGTGATAAGATAACTTTATATTAAATAAAAAATCAATTTTCTACTCTCTGATGAGTTTTGTGTTAAAAGAGAGAGAGGGGGTAAATTAAGGCTATTTTAGCTAGATGCTAAAGGGGAAACTGATGATAAATTAAATGTAGTGAGGGTAAGAACTTGAAGTGTGAGGGGCCCAGCATCTGAGTGTAGCTGGGCGCTGTGCATACCCTGGTGGGCACCTGCAGCACAGCATACCTGGATACCTTAGTCTCTCTGCCATTGAGATGTTTGTGTCTGTGCAGTAGTTGCAGTGGTGTGGGTTAAAAAATACCAACCATACACGTTGAATGATCTCACTTTGCATCAGGGTGTTTTGAGTACCATTCAAAAATTTATCACTGAAGACCAGCAGTTGCACTTGATTCTCTATGGCCCTCCAGGGATACTAAAGACATTGACCATCTAGCCAAACAGATATCCAAAGATAAAGAAATGGGCCCCATGGACTTGAAAGTGAATACTTCAGGTAACTGAGGAATAGATATCCTTTGGGGGCTGATCCTAAGCTTTGCTAGCAGGACAATATTTAAGAAGGGCTTTTAACAACTGATCTTTGACAAAATTGATGTCATGATTCAAGATGTCAGGAATGCCTTGAGCAGAGTCATTGAATGATTTACTGAAAATACCTAATTTTGCCTTATCTGTAACTCTTTATCCAAGATCATCCCACCTTGCAGTGCTAGTATAAAAAGTTCCCATTTCTGTCCTGACTCCTGAAGTCATAGATCCCTGCCTAGAACATGTCACAGAAGAGAAAGCTATTTTAAGTGAAAGCAGATAAAAGCACTTGTAATTCATTCCAGTCAAATATGAAAGGGCTCTGGACATTTTGCAGAGCACCAAGAAGGTAACTGAGCAGGTGTTTGCACCCGCACAGGACACCAATTCACATTTGATATTGCCAACTTTCTGGCCTGGATGTTGCATTAAATCTTCTCCACTGCTTACAGAAATACTAGAGTTGAAAACTCTGTATGACAGAGATACCATGTTTGCGCATGAAGTCGACTTTCAACTTCAATATGAATACACTTATTGACCAAAATGGCAGAAATTAAGTACAGATTTTCTGTTGGCACCAATATGAAGATTTAGTTGGGTTCCTTCATTGCTGCTTTAGAAATCACCAGAGACCTGTTTGTTACAGAGGTCTAGATACAAATTCCCATCATGGCAATTCTCAGGCCTAGTAATGATGTAACAGGGGACTCCAATATAGAATGAGCTGCCACCCACATCAGAGCAGCAAAGCCACAATCACCTCAAGCCTCGGCAAATTACTCTAGCATGTGTGGACAGACATTTAAAAAAGTAGGTACTGGGCTCCCTGGTGGTGCAGGGGTTAAAGACAGCGCTATCAAGCCATTGCCAGCCACTGCAGCACTGGCTGGCCAGGGAGGTGGCCACATGGTGCAGCAGACCTCTCCTGTCTCAATCACTGGTATCTCAGCAGTGTATTTTAGGCAGTCTGCCTGTTCTGTTCCCATTCTGTCTCTGGTGAATTCTCTCAGCCCCCACCCCCCATACCTCTGGCCTGTACCCCAGTTCTTCTATGCATAAATAAAATCTTTAAAAATAAATAAAATAAAAAGTAGGACTGTACAAATAACTTTAGTGTTTGACTATCTTGCACTGCCTATTATTGTTTATTGGGAAAAATGAAAAAGCAAAACCTCTTTTTCATTCTTCAGGCTTTTAATCCTTAGTTATTCGATGATAGGAAATTGGCCTGCCCATTTTAATCTGGAACACAGGCTTTCAAAACTATTTTGGTCCAAGTGTCTTACATCTCCAGGTAAGCAGAGTATCTTCTAAATTAAGTTTATAAATATAAGCTGTGGTGTTGTATCTGTATCTACTTTAAATAAGTGTTAATGGATTTCTGCCCCAAATAATTTTATCCTCATAAAATGGACTCAATTCTCTTCACTTTTAAAATTGGTCTTTTTATTTGTCCTTTTAAAGTGGAAGAGTTACTAGCAGGCTCCCAGCTATGTGGCAAGTAGAGAAAACTTTCAGTATAGATTATGCCACTGGGGCCAGTGGTTTTACAAACATCACTTCTTTAACCCAGAGAGGGCCTGCATGAAATTAAGCCTGATCCTCAACCTGCCTCTGCCGAAGGGTTAGGATTTGTGTACAAATGTACCACATTATTTTACAGCAATTACACTGCATTTATGATAGTGTTCTTTATAATAAAACTAAAGCAGCTTACTTTTTGATTGTGCAAAAAACATAGAGGGAAAAGCATCTGTATTCATGATAGATTTGGAGGAAACTGTAGACAATCTCTAGTGAGGACAAGAGGTAACTCTAAGCTTTGGGATCTAAGCAAATATGTTAAAAGTGATGAAATAAAAAATACCTAGGGAAGAAATATTTTGAGAAGGAAATCACTTTTATTTAGGTTATGTTAAGTATTGAATATTCAGGTGGAATGTCAACTTGGCTATTAAATCTTTGAGTAATTCAGGATAAATATGGATGGGAAAATATAAATTTTGTATTTTTCATCTCATACTGTTGCTAAACTCTAGATACCTAGGAAGCAACTAAATCTAACAGAAATACGGTTCTAGAATCTCAAGTCAATCATCTTGCTCCTACTCTCCATTGTCCTTTGTCTCTCATCAACAAACATAGTGTTGGACATTAAAGAATTGTATGTCTGAGTATTTATTTTGACAATAAAATAAACATCTTTAAGCTTGAATTCTTCTGTTTATGTCAGTTCCTTTTTCAATTTCCAATGGTCCCCCTGATGAACCATGCTTTATATTCCCTGATAAAGACAATGAGATTCATCTGCATATATTTCTTAGCTTTGATACCAATAATGGCATTTAATTGCTCCAATCCATGCTTTGTACAAAGGCAGTGATTTTGGCATTGATATTGACGGTTCTTTTAATATCTGACCATACTAAGTTATTAATTTCCTCTTCATGACATTTCTGTCATTTTTCTCATGACATTTCTGTTGCCTAAAATCTTCTACTTCCCTGTTCACATATTTAGATCCTAGTCACCTTTCAAAGTCTTCATTCTAATGTCACTTTTTTTTCATATGTTTTGTTAAACTGCCTTAGTTAAAAATAATATCTCCTCCTGTGAGCATCTGTTATATATATAAGAATACCTCTTATGGCATGTAATATAGTCTTTCAGGTACTATATTTACTAAGATACCTATGTGGATGTAAAAGATCAAACAAGTTTGCTATACCAACAACTAGATTTCTACAGAAGATTTTGACAAAGGAACAAGACTTCTGAATAGAGATGGCAGTGACTCTGATACTTGACTTTTCCAATTTTTTTTTAAGATTTATTTATTTATTTATACAAGAATCGGGGTATAGGCCAGATGCGTGCGAGCGTGGGAGGACTCACCAGAGACAGATCAGGGAACAGAACAGGCAGATTGACTGAAATACACTGCTGGGGGGAGCAGCGGGTGAGACAGGAGAGGTCTGCCGTGCCATGTGGGACACTCATCCACTCATCGGCCGGCTGGGATCAAACCGGCGCTGCAGAGGCTGCGGACAGCTTCACAGCGCTGTGCTCAACTGCCTGCACCACCAGGGAAGGCCCCTACTTACTTTTCAATTGCCTGGCCACAGT